TGACTTTAAAAAAAAGAGGTTTGTACCTATGTTGTTTATTTATTATTTCTTGCCTATATCTTGTAATATGAGAAACTACTTTGGCAGTAACAATACACAATGTACTAACCATTGTTACTCTCCTAAAATCTTGTTTTGAGATTTTGTACCATTTTTTTTCTTTAAAATAAAATAACTAATGTCAAAAAAAAAAGAAAACAATACATTATAGTATAGATGATATATAAGATTTTTAAATCTCCATGTTGATGGAATAAAAAAAAACCTTATTCCTTTTTAGTTTTATAGATTTTCAAGTTAAGGTGATTTTACATTGTTTTTGCTCTTTCCATAACACATATTCATCATAAAAATTAAAACAACATAAATGTATCTAAAATATACTGCAAAAGCTTTTATTTTCTAAATAAGCCTATGTTGATTTATATCTCATCCCACAAACTCTTCTATTAATGAGATATTCCATCAAGAAGGGGCATCCAGGTTTCTTCTTCTTAGACTTGGCCAGAGCTCTGCAGCCACCTTGACTGATAGGTTGTGGCAGAAATGACTTGCAAGGATAGGTCACGAAAGGCAATGCCACCTCTGCTGGTTCTCTTTCCTGAACATGTGTCTCTAGAGGCCTGAATTGCCACACAAGTCTGATATGCTAAAGTCTGCATGTTGAGAGACCACATGGGAAGTCCAAATATGAACAGAGATTCTGTGAAAACCCGGTTATTCCAGACTTCCCAGCCCAGGCACAAGAAGTGGGGATGAGCAAGACTTTGAGCAGACTCCAACCCCAGCCACAGGTTGACCAAATCTCATGACAGCCCTTGAGTCAGAACCACCCAGTTGGGCAGCTCCCTAATTCTTGATCCACATAAACACGGAGAGTGTGTGAATGAATATTGCTGCCTAAAGTGACCACAAAAAGCACCATCTTTGTTCCTTAAAAAAAAAAAAGGTAAAGGCAGCAGTCCCTCAGGGGACCGTCAACACTAGTGGATTGGTTCCCATCTAGGATCACAATGCCCCCTGCAGAAGGGGAAGCAGTCCAGAGATACTGTCAAACCCTTCTCAAAGGCAGCAAAGAGGGAGCAAAAAGTACATCATTGTGTCCAAAGTTCCTGCTGTTACCCAGAAGCCTGATTAAAGTCCTTCAGACTTCTATGAGAGGCTATAAAGCCTACAGGAGCTGCACTCCTTTTGGCCCCTGAAAATCCACAGACCATAGGTGCGGCCTTCATGCACAGGCAGCACCTGATAGCCACAAGAAAACCCAGCCTGGCAGATGCCCAGCCCCTCTGGCCAAAGACCAGTGCACAAGATGTAAGGGCTACGGACGCTGGGAGAACAAATGCCCAGTCAGACTAAGGGATGAGGATTCTCGACAGCCCCCACCTGGAGCAGATGACCACCTTTCATCGGTCTGATGGGCTCAGACCAGGCCAGTGGAGCTCCCTCCTGCAGCGGGGCCCCCAGGAGCCCTGTCCATGTCCACGGTGGGGCCAGCCCATGACCTTCCTGGCTGACAGTGGGGCAGAGCACCGCAGCTACCCAACCTACTGCTCCTCTGCCAGCATACAGGCCACCATCCCCGGGGCCCCTGGCCTCTCACCTCTCGCCCCTTCTGCCAGGCAAGAGCCCGCAGCCTGGGAGGACACCCAATCACACACATGTTCCTCTGCTTGCCAGAGTGCCCTACCGCACTCCTGGGGAGAGATGTCACACCTAAGTCACAGACCACCACCACCTTCTCTCTGAGACAGGCTGCCTCTCTGTCCCTTGCAGCTCCACAATCACATTTCCTGCTTGCTATCATGGTCCCCCATGATGGATACACACAGATAAAGCCAACACAGCCGTTCTCAACACTTCCGGAGTGCTGGAGACTCTCTTCCTGCCTGACCGTGCAACTTCACCTGGGGCAACCACCCCTCTGCCTCCAACAGTACCCCAGGGCACACGAAGCTCAGCTAGGAACTCAGCCACACGCCCTGACTTCAGACCTATGGGATACTCACAGACTGGCGGTCTCCCCAGAATACCCCTCTCCCGACTATGAAGACACCCAGCAGGAAAGATCATCGGTTAAGATCTCCATGCGGTCAGGGCCGCCTAGGTCGCCCTCCATCCTGCAGTCCCCAACCCTTACACTCTCCTCAGCCTCCCACCACCCACAGCCTGCTGGCACACCTGCCTGGACCTAAGGAGGCCGTGTGCTGCCTTCAGGGGCTGCTGGCAGCCAGCCCCTCCTGCCTTTGAATGGGAAGATACCAGTTGACCTGGACTCAGCCTCCCCGGGAATTCAAACACTCATCTTACCCTCTTTGGACAAGCCCTAGAAGCACACCTGACTAGTTCCCCCAGCAGAGAGTATCACTGTGCCCTTCTCCAACACACTGGTGAGCTTTGGTTAGTGACACCTGCTGGGAAGGCACAAAAGCTCTGCACAACATCTGGCAGAAACTGGCTACAAGGTATCTTGAAAAAAGTCACGAATCCGCAAACAAAGTCAGACACCTGGATTTTATTTAAACCAGAGACACCATGCACCTGGACCAGGAAAAAAAAAGGTGGTAATCTGCTCTATTCCAGTCCCAACCACAAGAAAGAAGTGCCTCAAATTCCTTAAAGCTACTGGTTTCTGCAAAATCTGGATCCCTGGGTTCACAGAAAAAAGCAAAGCCCCTATATGATCCCTCGACTAGGAAAAACTGACATTTTTTTACTGGAATCCAGAACAAGAAATAGCCTTCAGTGACATTAAAAAGGCCCTCTCTGGGCTGGGGAGATAGCTCAGCAGTCGAAGCGCCTGCCTGGCAAGCGCAAGGACCTGGGTTTGATCCACGGTCTGGGCCCAGAACCAGGGGTGGTGGTGCACGCCTGTAATTCCAGTGCTGGGGAGGCTGAAAACAGGAGGAGGATCATTACGAGTTCAAGCTGCATAGCAAGACCCTGTACCAAAGGCATTTTGGCCAAAGCTCCCCCGCAAGGATGGTCTGCACAGCGAGCTGCACTACGGGATGTCATACAGCCCTCAATTGGTGTAAAAATAAAAAGGTCAGCATCTATATAGACTCTAGATATGCCTTTGCCACAGTTCTTAATAACTGCACACAATGATGTACCCTATATTATTATCAAGTGCCCTATATTATTATTATAAATGTATCCTACATTATTATTATAGAGCTCCTTAGTGCCTATAAGGGCATTCTCATAAATAAAACATTTCGGTGCTGGAGAGATAGCTTAGTGGTCTAAGCACCTGCCAGGCAAGTGCAAGGACTGGGGCTTGGTTCCCAGTAGCACATGCTGGGCTGGCCCTGGAACCCCAGGCGGGTGCCCTGTGCTAAGACCGGGAGTGGTGGTACACCCCTGCAATCCCAGCTCTGGGGAGACTGAGGCAGGAGGATCATCACAAATTCAGGCTGTGCAGGAAGACTCTGTACCAAATAAATAAATGATTTTAAAAATTAAAGAAAAATCATACTTACTTTGCTGTGATGGTACCATTTAAATTCTTAGAATTCAAAGAACAGTATAACGGTGTCTGTAGAACAACTTCAAATTTTGGTAATACTGCAAGAGAAGAGCAAGCTTTTACTATCAATGCCAACTGACCAAAATTAAAAAAAAAAAAACAGTCATTCTGAAAAGTTCTTAACTATTCTCACTTGAACTTATGCTCATCAGGATCCAAATACATATTAATACAGATGAAAGCCTTGTATTTTATTCAAAATCATAAATCCTTACTTAAATCAGTCTCATAATACTTTTTGATATAAAGCACTGTGCCTACATAAAAAATTTTTTGCCTGATCAACAGGAAAATTTTTCTATGACTTCACTGACCAAAGAAGTAGCTGAAAGTCTCATAACACAGACACTGTGCTCTTCGATTACTGTAAGATAAATATCGCGAAAGCCCATGAGCCCAAGTCCGAGGCAACCAGACGCCTGGACGTGACAGGCTGGCAGTCGTCCCCACACTGGGCCCCGCAGTGACACACACCACCCAGCACCACGTGTGACGTGAAAACAGCCTACACAGAGCGGGACTCCGTGATACGTTCTAGAGCAGTATTATCACAAAGAAATGTAAGTGTATAACATTTCATTTCTAGTAATCACATTTAAAAAGAAAAAAAAAAAAAAAAGGGCTGGAGAGATAGCTCAGGGGCTTAAGCACCTGTCTGGCAAGCACAAGGTCCTGAGTTCAATCCCCAATACCAAAAAATATAAGTAAATAAAATAAAGTAAAAAGAAATGGGTGAAGGCAATTTCTACAATATTTTAACCCCACATATCCAGAATCTAATCTCCATGTAATCTACACAAACTACTAATGGACTACACGTCTTTCTCCTAAGTCTCAGGAGGCCAAAGTGAGCTGCATACCTGCAGCACCTTCTCTCAGCACCAGCTCTGTGTCCAGCACTGAGCAGCCACGTGGGGCAAGTGACCAAGCACAGTCCAGATCAGAGCTGGCAAGCTAGAGCCGGCAAGAACTAACCATGGCTTTCACTATTTTTAAAAGCAAAAGGAAAAATAGGGCTGGGGCGATAGCTCAGTAGAATAAGCACTTCCCTGGTAAGCACAAGGGCCTGAGTTCAATCCCTGGTTCCACAAAAAAAAAAAGGAAAAATAGTGTAAATCACACATGAAATTCAAATGTCTACGTCCATAAAACAAACCTCGCTACTGTAACACAGGAACATTCACTTGCATGTCGCCTACGGCTATTCCCATAAAGCTGAGCATTACGATAGACGAGGCCCACAGCACCTCAAATGACACCATCTGGCTGGGCTCAGGAAAACACTTTGCTGGCTACGGTTCTGAGGGATCATGAGACATGGATCAGAAAAGACCACATGCTGTGGGCACCTGAGCCACAAAAGTGTCAGCAAACTACTTTCCAGAATTTCTACCACCAACAGGAAAGGTACTGTTGTAGTCTGGGGTTTTGCAAGAGGAACAATACAATGCAGGACACATATTTTATCATATTATTTATAATAAATTACCCAAAGAATCATACATAAAAAGTACAGGAAATCTGTCCACACACTAAAGACTACACACCAAAGAATCCAGCTGAGGATGTGGATTCCCATGGCAACATCCTGCTTGAGTCCAGATGAAGACCAAGAAAGTGTAACAATGTTTTCCAAAAGTCCAGCTGGAGGCCTAGAGTCCACCACAGCATCTCACCAGGCCCGCTGCAGGGACCTGTGCTGGGAAGGCCCAAGGTGAGAGGTGGGAGCTAGAAAGTCTGTGCCAGCGGGATGAGGGGTCTGTGCCAACAGGCTGGGGGATCTGCACTGGAGCCAGGAAGCAATGTTCAAAGTAAGAACCAGAGCACCCCTGAAAAGTACCACAGCCGTCCTCTACGACAACAAGGGCCCACGCTCCTTTGACAGTGTAAGCTGCCAAGTTCATCAGGAAAGTCAGCAAGCCTCTCCAAGAGAAGCAACGGCAGCCCCCACAAAACCAACAGCTCCCTATAGCCTCCATGCTAGCTTCCTCCAGCCCCTCCTCCTCTCCAGTTCCACCTCTTACGCCGGCAGCAGCAGCCCTCAGCTGGGCCTCCCACACCCAGCTCCGCGCTGCTTCAGTTCAGCTCGGTGTACCAAGCTGACCGCCAGCCGGCATCCACCACAGGCACACATCAAGTAAAAAGGCTCACACGGAAACCCTAAGCAGCACACACACTCTAACACTGAGGCTCTGCACATCTCTCCTTCCTCCCCAACATAGTCGCAGGACCCACGCTTTTATCTGTGCTTTCTAACGCAGTTTTCCAAGTGCTGCATCCATCAAGACTCTTTACCAGGTTAACCAAGTACTGTAAAACTACGGTAAGTAACGGATACTAAGCTTGGGGGTTTGGTTTTGTTTGTAGGACTCTATCACCCTGCTACATCCCAGCCCTAATGTTAAGGTGTATAAACAGGCAAAATTTTAAATATCTGGTCACTGCAACAAAATCCAAAAAAAAAAAAGGAAAAGCTGTGCATAGGAAAACCTGGTGGCTGAGGAGATATCTCAGCAGCTTCGGTGCCTGCCTGGCAAAGGCAAGGTGCTGAGTTCAAGCCCTGATATTGCAAAAAAAAAAAAAAAAAAAAAAAAAAAAAAAAAAAAAAGAAAAAAAAAAAAAAACTA